CCAAGAAAGCCAGAGAACCTGGCTTTCTTGGTCTTCCATAGATGCTTATTCGGTAGTGCAACAGTACTCGACAAAAATTAAAGAAACATTAATAGCTTTGATAATTCGAGCTTTACGTCGTCCATTGCTATAGCGTCACTCTCCTGTTGTGATACACAGAACTGCACGATCTCTAAACAACCACCACTCGCTGCCCAATGCACTGCTGTCCGACCAGACTAAAATCAGATTTGACAACCACAACTCGCCAATGACATATGATTCAATGGGGATAACATGAACAGATAACAGGGAATCTAGACTTTTTTGGACTCTAAATTTCAGGTTTGTTGAACTGAAACAAGAGGCCAAAACCAAATCCTCTCCAACAACAATCTCGACAAATAAATTCAAATCATATCAGAGAAATCACTTACATCATCTTTTCCAGACCTTAAGGTATCAAATTTCTGTAGTAGTCGCTTCGCATCTTCTGCCCTATTCTTACGCAACGATTCGATAAGCTCTACTCGCGCCGTTTCCAATGTTTTCGCGGGTTTTCCATTCATTAGTTTGCTTAAGAAAAAGATTGATAACAGAAGTGTCATGCCACCAATTCACAAATCCTTCCAGTAATATGAGCTTTTCTTTGTGAGCTTTTTTTATTCCATTTTGAGCGCACTTGATTGAAGTACACCGGAGGCTTACTCCTCTTCAACACTTGTCACCGTAAAACATATCAGTGTAAAAACTGAAACCAACAAAAATGGAGCATATCAGCCATGTGGAGAAAAAAATACAAAGGAAAGTTTCATTTGCAGAGAGTAATAAGATCAACATCAATCTCATTCGGCACAAGAAGCATATCACAGTTACGAAGAAATCACATACAAACTATTACAATTCTGAATACTTCAAAAAATAATCGAAAGTACTCGTTTTCTCAATATATACAATATAACAACAACATATAACAGTAAGGCAAAAGTTAGTAGAATTTTATCTGTACATTCTCGCCGGCCATACTTCGATATCAGCTTCCCACCGCTCTGTAATCAAGAGCATCATCAGAATTTGGATAATCCTTAATGTATAAAGACAAAATCTAGAAAAACCAAAGCTATCACCTTTCATTAATACCCAACATCAGCAAATTATCATAACTATGTCTTTTAACCGGTAATTTTCTACTAATTTAAAAGGCTGAAAGTAAATACTTGTATGTGAGCGCCCATTGACGAATATTCAGATTCTGTATCTTTAAGAAGAAATGAGGAATGAATGAGTGTTGAGGTTGTGTCTTCAGACAATTTCAACTGATCACTCATTTTTGTGACCAATGATGCGAGATTTTCCGTTGCCTCAAAATAGTACGAACTCTTTAGAAATATTATAAACTGAAGTTTCGCGACTATCTATGAACGAGTCTGACTAAAACTTTCAAACTACAAAAATGCACAAGACTTGCTTTTGAAACGTTTAAGAATCGATTTTCCAGCAAACTGTCAAACAAAGAAGTAAAATATTTAATCAATACTTTCAAAGTCTGTGTTTTCAAGTTTTCACCACGTCTTCTACGGTTTCTAAATTCAATATCTTGAGAATCATCACCACCTTGCAATAAATAGCTGAGCGACTGTTCTTCTATAATATTTTTTCTGAGATATACTGATTTATAAAACATATAAAATCATCTAAGAAATTTCAAAACTTAAAGTTTTCTGAAAAAAAACTGCTAGTGCAACCCACCCATGACTTTTACAAACTTCAAAATTGCTTGGCGAAGCATTTGGCGATTCTTTTCTAACTCATTCCGATGTTCTTTCACTTGAGCCAGTAGCTCGACACGATCATTTCGAAAAGTTATCTGAAGAGGTGCATCAGTGCATTACCCAACGATGTTTAGAAAAACGACAAACGAGTGAAAATGAATTATATATGTCGCAATGAAAGAAGATTACCTTGTTTGCGAATTTCTCTAAGGTATCAATTAAATGACCAAGTTTGGCTATTTCATCTTTAATGTCTCGAGTACACTGGGCTATTTCTTTCTGCGACATGAATTTTTGCTGCCTGAAGAAAAAAGGAATACAGAAATACAGCATGTTGCGAAGAATATGAATTATATGGACCAAGTAAAAAAAACTCCGTCAGAATCCCCTCAGTCTCAATATCTTAAATTTATTCCACCAATTAATAAATATATAAAGTAAGCAAACTGCTCACAGGTCCTTATTAATCTCGAAACATGAGGTCCTACATTAGAAACTCAAGTCTAGCTAACGTGAACAAAACCAAAACTAAAGACCAACCTAATCCCTTCGATATGGTTTTTCACAGCAATATCAGCCTTAAGGATATCTTGCTGACAAACTTGTAACTGCACAAGATTCAAATTTTGCATCTTCAAGTGTGAGATTTCCAAGAATAGTATACGGCTTATTTCTCCTTGCAGAAAATCTATGGAAAACTGCACTTGTAAGTCGAATTGCAAGAAATCTGGTTAATTTTATTGAATTTTGTTCATTTCAACTTTTCAGTTATCTTAACTGAAATCACAGTTTAACACTTTGTAACTTTTCGCGACCAAGAGTAAGACTTGAAAAAAAAAACTTTAGGACACTTTTCTCATAAACTTCATTCTCTCACCTTTCTTTTGTGAGACAATTCACAAATACCATTATTCAGTTCCCAATATCAATTTTTAGAACAGCTGTTAACTCAGAAATGATTAAATTCCCTTAACTCGGTCTTATTTTCTGATAAACAATGTTGAGAAACAACGTGGAAATTAACCACACAAATGAATCAAAGATATGCATATTTTACAATTTATGCAATTTTTATGATTCCGCAAACTACATTAAATATCGATAATCAAATAACAAGTTTTTATAAATATGTCGACGACGATAAAAACAAACTACACTTCATAACCATACTGTCTCATACACTTCTTGTGAGCTTCTATCAGCTCTCCGCAATGTTCCTCACCAAACAAAATCATACATTCATCTCTGGCCTGCAAATTTAAAACACGCAGAAATTATCCGAACTAAGAAAGGTTCTATAGACATACTTGATTTCTAGGATCAATCATCCATATAATCTGGTCGTTGGTTAATAAGATCACGATAGTGTTAGGGACTTTTTGAAGCACTTCATATCATTTCATGATGTGACTTTAATCTTTTCGTTCAACGATTCAGCTGTTTTACAGATTTTTATGTCTACAAATTTTCATTTAGAATCAAGTCTCCATTACACTGTCTACAAATTTTCATTTAGAATTAAATCTCCATTACACTAACTTCAAGTCAACACCTTATCATTCCGTCCCAACAATTAACTTATGCTCATCCTACAGTCAACTTAAAAGGCTATGCAAAACTACCTCAATGAGAAGCAACTCATTAGTCAAACTAATCCTATGTCGGTAAAATATGCAGCATCAGGAATTTGAAAGCCGCTCAAGTCTTAGATTATATAAATTAACCTTTTTAGTTTCCGGACAAGCGCAACATGGTTTGGGCTTTTTTGTGCCACTATCCTTCGACGATATCGAACATCCCTTATCGTCACTCATCTGTAAAATAAGGTTAAAGTAAAAATATGTCCGGTTAGACTGATTTTATGTGAAATAATATACATCAGACTTTCGGAACTACGACCATTTTCTCACATGTCTAAAAACTACTCATGTCTAAAGACTTTCTCACACGTTTGAAAACTGTCTGAAGCCTACAGAAGTTTATACTTCATCCGTTGTTTTGTAAATTATTACACACTGCACAGCACGACTGTTTCCACTCACGTACAAATTAATTAGAAGTGGGTACATCCCAACCCAATATTTTATTTGACAAATTACTGACACGTCCGGCAGTATCTAAGAAATATTCGGAAAATGATCGGCAAATAAGAGCCACTTAAAACGAGAAGAAACGCATAAATCAAAAAAAAAATACTCAAAATGACTGCAATCCTGACCGCAGAAATTCTTGCCTTATTTTGGCAGACAAGCATTTTCACTGTAAACAACTCTAGTTCCCAAAGTTATGTTGAAGAACCAATAAGCTGTTCATGAAAAGAGCAGAAATTTCCCAGGGAAAAATAACTTTACTGATTTATTTATGCAGTCATGCAAAAACATAGAAGCAATAAAAGAGAATCCGATAAATAATATTAATTTGAACCGATCATTTTTAAGTTGGTGAAATATCCAAAATTCTAACAATATGAAATTGAGGCTTATAAAAATCAAATGCTAGATAATCTATAAACATGAACGAGGCGACCAAGTGGAAGGATTCTGGTAGCGTTATTGATCAGAAAACTCGGTTTGAAGCAAAAGTACTAAACAGCCGAAAACATTGGCACAACTTTTACAAAATTAGTCTGGTCATTTCCCGAAAAAATAGCAGTACCAATAAGGTCGGGTAATAATTGCAAGATGTTTTAATGCACAGAAAGTAGCTTTTTATAATGTTCACCTTATTTCAGTAATGAGATGAGGAAACCAGTAATTTAACTGATGACCTATAACTGCTTAGAAAAAAGGCTTGTAAGACGGACAATATCAATATAATATTAGAAAGACTTCGATGCAAGATGACACTCCTTAGAAAAAAAATACAATACAGATAATTTCTGGAACGGAGAGCAATCAAACTGCAATTTCCAACAGCACAAAGGAATATATTTCCGGAAGATCGAAATGCGATAAAAATGTTAGTTATATAGCGCACAGAATGGTGAGATAGAAATCTGAGGTACCGCACCGACATGAAAGTTATCGTTAAGTTGTTTAAGCTCAACAACAGCTTCACATAAAGAAACGTATGAAGAGTGTTTATAAAGATTTTAATAAAGTCTTAGCAAATAACAATAAGTTATGAAATTGACAATAGGACCGAAATTATTGATTTTTATCATGTTTTGAAAATCCAAACAGACATTTTCCCTTGTCAAGAAGACGATATCATCGATTTCGTTCCACCTAAAAATGAATTCGACAAAAGTAAATTCGAACTTTAGCTTCTGAATTCCAAATCTAATTACCCCGTTCATTTCCTACTAGCTCAAAAAATCATATTTAAAACCAACACTTCATATACACTCTGTTTAAGGAAATAAACAAAAAAAGCGTCTCAAATTTGGAATTTAAAATGAAAGTGAACATAATGCAAACATCGCGAAACTTTGCAACGTCCTCAAACGGAACTACCTGCAAAATCTGTGATTTATGATCATGATTAGAGAAAAGATGATTGAAGATAGTCACTTTTCGGATGAAAGATAGAAATGACCTGCGTAACTGTACCATATAATACATGATAAAAAACAAAATTCTATCCAAAAACATAATCAGTAGCTCTCGATAAATCCCACCAATTGCAGCTCAATGCCGAAATAGCATCTTCCTGAAAGATTTACAATCAAAAAAAAGAAAAAAAATTCAAAGTTGGAAAATCTAAACTTTGGATTTTTTTATTCTATTTCATCTTTTATGAATTTAACCTGCTTGACTCCCATATCCTTCAGTTTGTCGATTTTATTCCAGAATTCATCATCCCGTTTGCCTTCGGCTTTAGCATAATGCTGCGCCCAAAATCGCGCCGTTCGCTAAATTTAAGTATTCACAAACTCGAAAAAACAAGAAGTCTATGATTAATTTTGTATTACAAATTGTTATTAGCCTAACTTTGTAAAGTTGCGCATTATCCATGTACTGCCTAGCAACAACAGCATCCTGTGGGTCATTTGGCTCTGGCAAAGTTAAAAGTGCCTGGATACTCAACAACACGGTACGTAAAGTTAGAGAAGCGGCCCTGAAAAAGCTGAAAGTATTTAAAAAGCCTAAAAACCCGAAACCACAATGAAATCGCAGCTGTAAGATTGAAAAAATCAATTTTCATCTAATAAACATTTCAGTAACAAAAGCATTTGGATTTGTCCAATTCCAAAAAATCTCGCTTCTTTAACATTTTGGAAAAAATTATAAAAAGGATAGAATTTTCGAATAACACCAACAACTTACCACTGCTCTTTTAATATATCAAGACAAATCGTCCCAGTCTGCGAGCTGATATTCGGATGCCAAATTTTTGTGATAAATTTACACTGTAAATAAATGACGGATGTTTATCCAGGAGTTGGAAGGTTAATAACATGTTTATATCAGAGGTATTTTTGATTCATTACAAATTTTTGAAATAAGCAAGTGACTTTGTTCGTCGATGGATATAACGAGAAAAAAAAGTTTCATGAAGTTTTGTGCTCTAACGACCAACTATAACGAAGAGGTAATGTCGAAATAGGGTTGAATGCCTTTAACCATATCAATCGTCACTGACCGAACAAATGGAATTATTACACCAGAAAAAAAAAGAATTCGAATCAGCAAAAACTTTTGACAACTTTCTAAGTAACACTCACTATAGGTGGCTGGAAGGGATATTCGTCTGGAATTGTGATATCCAAAGCGTAAGTACCACCTTCATATGGACTATCTGGGGGGCCTCGTATTTCCCCACGTATTTTTGTCAGCGAATCATTCCGAATTTCAATCATTACGCCCGTTTCAGCCAGCTGAAAGCTTTGTATAGAGTGTTCAAACCCCAAAGTTTTCCGTAAATCGATAAGATTTTGGCCTAGAATCCGGAGAAAACATTAGAAAAGCTCCGACACATTACCATCATCCTTTCTTGCTCGAAATAACGATTTTATCTGATGATTTATCGTTCCCTTCAGTTACTCCAACTATGATATCTTCACATAAGAAAATCGCATAGAAAGATTAGTTTTTTAGGCTAAAAAAACTTATGTAAATATTTTGAAGGAAGAGATAAACTTCTTTATTAGTGATGATTTCCTTGCATTCTCGTTGTACGCGTGAGAAAGCAATATTCTGAGACATCGCGAGAATGGCCTAGTCTGGATCGATCGACTGAAAAGCAACTGTTCCTAATCCAGATGATTGAAATAGAAATTAATTTGTTGACGCGAAATGGTCTAGACCAGTTTAGGAAAATTGAAGAAACTTGCGGCCTCTTCTTCCCAACAATTAAATACTTGTTCCGCTCACTGTAGTACCTATAAATACAATTACGGCACCTCCAAACCCTGTAAGACTACAGTCTATATCTATGGATCAAGCTCCTAACAAGGATGCAACAATGACCTGAATTTAAACAATTGAATAACACTTGTCAGCTCTCAATTTTCACGAAAATGTCGCTCTCTTTTCACAAGGCCGCGAAACGGTTGTGAAATAAAAGTTTTGAAATCTGCTTAGAATTAAATTAATTATGGGGCTTATTGGTTTGTACCGGATGACGTTGTTTATACGTCATATTGATTCCTGATAACGTGGTTATTTGTTTGGGTTGATCCCGGATGGTTTCAGGTGATTTTGTCACTAATCGATTGATTGCAAGTCAGGATGGGCAAGTCAACGAAGAAGAAAAGGGTAGGTTGCACAAAGGAAGAACAAGGACGGATGGCGCTCGAGGAGAAGTCGGAAATGCATAGGAAGTTTTGGATATATGGTATTGCTCTGACGGGTTCGTACTAACTTTAGTCATTCCACCGATTCGTTAATGGCTAATCATGTTGGCCATGATCTTTGACATCTTAAAGTTACAGTAGGTGCCAAGTTGATATTGATCAAGATGGGCTATACTTCAGTCATTCACAGTTGCTTGCATAGTGTAACTTTTAAATTTGGAAACATTCATACGATGCTATTGTAAGTATGAGTAATTAGAGGACACCTTGTGTAAGTCATATGTAAGTGCTTTGTTGTTCATCGCTCTTACATATTCGCCTAAACTTTATAAACATCTGGCCATTTTTTGAAGTTATATTGAAAAGCTTACGTCTATTTTTCTCCATAAATTTTTTTTATTATGTCTGTATTTGTTGTATGTCTTTTGAGAATTTGATAAGCAGTTAAACACTTAACAGTGGTGTTTTGTCGATAGAAATCTAATTTGAGGAAGAATTCAGCATTTTTTAGTTATAAGGTTTTTACAACTTTCGTGGATCACTGCGCTTGAAAATTTTACTTTCTTTTTGGTTAACTTTTACGGTAGGCTGCATTTAGATAAACAATGATGGTAGTTTTTCATGTTTATGCAGACGTTAACAATTACTGTGTACGTTAACAAATGCAGTAAATACTTTTGTACTTTACTGCATTTGTTTTACTGCATACACTTTACTGCATACACTGCATACAATGGTAATATTAATACTTTACTGCATACAATGGTAATATTAAACAATGGTATCATTGACAAGGTTAGATTTCACGACGACTTCAGCGTTAACTTTCGTATCTGAAAACCAATTTTTCCAATACGGTAGATTATCGTCTTACTTGACAGTAGCAAAGCGCACATCACCATAGGGAAGGATTTCTATTCCGATCTTTCCTTTTAAAAAAATGAGAAAGCTATCCTATAAAACTGAGTATTGATTAGTGGCTCCAAGTAGCACTATTTATGGTCCGAAAGTTTTGAATGCATAGTTTTTAGCAAAAATAATCGTAAAAAATCTCGAAATGAACAAAGTT